GCACTCTCTTTTTCCCCTTTGCCTTTATCAAAGGAATATGCTGCTCTTCCAATCCCTGGTCCTTACCCTCTTCCATAATTTTTTAAAATAATTGCCCAACCATCCAAAACTTTCCCCCCTTTTTAACATTTCTTCTTTATCCTAAATCCGGCTGCCTTACCCCTTTCATTTACTACTCCCACGAATTCCCCCCACTCAAAAGGGGTTTTCCTCACCCCTACAAGATGTTATTCCCTCCTTCCCCTAAAACCCGAAATCAAGTTCCCCTTCTTCTCAACATTTAACAATTCTCAAAATATTCCTCTTTTCAATCCTCTAACTTCCTTTTTTAAAAAACCTCCTCTCTATTTTTAATGACAAACCTTTTGTTCTTAGGCTTCCCTTAATTGTTAATCTCTAAAAAAACTTTTTCTTTTTTTCAACAAAATTTGTTGATAACGTCACCCCCCTCTTCATTTGCTTTTTTTACATTGTTTCCCCCACTCTTTTAAACCCTTCTTTTTTTTCCCCATATCTTTTCCCCCTCCTTGATCACTTCTATTTGTAAAAATTTTATGCTAACTTTTTCTCCCTTATACTCTTTCACTCATCTTCCCCCAATCGCTCCTCTTCCCCTCTGCCCCCCTTTTCCTGAAACCCACAACTTCTGCGAACACTCTAACATACTTTTTTTAACCTTACCCATTCCTCTTCGACCCATTCCCTAGCTTTTTAGCCCATCTATCTCCAATAGCTGTTTATATCTTCCCTAATGCCTCCTCTTTTAGTTTTAAAAACTTACCTTCTCTTCCCTGATTTTTTTTCCCCTTTGTACCCCATCTACCTTTTACTTCAGTGTAGTACAACTAAAAAGTGATCTGTTTTTTGGGGCCCCCTCGTAAAATGTACACCCTAAAGTCTACTAAACAGTCTTTTTTCTCCAAATACTAACCCAACAACTACTGTCATTTCGCCCTACATCTATGTGATACTTATTTATCCCTTTTTCTTAAAATTGTATTACTATAATAAACCCCTTCTTTTCAAAGTTCAACAAAGGGCCCCCATTATCATTTACCCTGGACCCCAAACTTACCTACCACCCCCTCTCTAAAAGTTTTTCCTACTTTAGATTCAGGTCCCCTACCACAATTACTCTCTCATTTGGTTTAAAGGCTCCTTCATTCACTTACATCTCCCCAAAAACTCTTCTCTCTCTGCATTCCTCTCTTCTCCCCGGGGCATAACCTTATTATGACCCACTTTCGCATCCAACCTTTACTTTAATCCCTAATTTGAATTTACCATTATATTCTCTTTTCCTTCCCTAACTGCATTTAACAATTTCTGCTACCCTTCCCCTTTTCTTAACTCTTCAGTACTCCAGATTTTAATCCCATTTTTTTTCCCCCCCCTGAAACTTCCCACCCCCCTTTGCTTTGTTTTGCTTGAGCCGGACATCCAACTTCTTTTCATTCATAACATCAGCAATCATCTGTTTCTTGTCATCCGCACTACATCCACGCACATTTAAACAACCCATGAAATGTAATAATAGCGTTTACTTAGCCTAACAGTACTGCTTCCTTAACCTATTGAACCATGAACAATCATAAAACACATGAAAACATCTTAAAATATTGTATATGCATGTTATTGTTTAGTAACAGATAATGAACAAACAAAACACTCACCATTCGTAAGGTTAGGCAGACAAACTCTGATGACTTGTGATAATGATGACAATGATGATGATGATAGTTAGCCAAGCAGTTACTGATGACAGTTGAATGGAGGTGATTGTTATAGAGTGTAACTGCATGGCATGATGAGTCTAGTGTGTGGATTCTAACTCTTCACTGCCAGCGTCACTGCCGACATCGCTAGAGTCAGAGTTAGCAACGGAGTCAGATTCTGCCACAGGTTGAGGTTCAGGTGAGGCGGTAGGTGTAGTGGCAGGCTTTCTTGTGAAGAACATTGTGATGGGCAGCTGGGACCATTTCCTCTTCATATCTACAAACAGAGTTTTGTAGGGAATTATTCTCCTATCAGTGTCATTCATCACCTTCAGAGCCCTCAACGTCGATGGGTCTGTGTTGTAAAAAAATTGTTTGAGCTGTGCTGTCATTCTCGTTGCTTGAGGTTGATTGGCCTCAGCAACACTCTCCTCTTCTTTATCCTCACTCTCTGCAATCTCCAACAATTCTTCATCATGTTCTTCAACCAGTTCTCTCACTTCACTCTCCTGCATGTCCTCGACCCCTTCACCACCCCCTAGCCTTGCTAACTCCACTGTCTTCCTCACGGTGTTGTTGACCTTATCCTGAGGACCAAATCCAACAAAATCACACACACACACACACACGCAGGCAGGCAGGCAGGCAGGCAGGCAGGCCACAAAGCCCTCCAACAACCCTTCACTGTCTCAGGGTGCAAATCCTTGACACATGCACTATTGAGAGGCAGTCAGCAATGGTGAATTTCTTCCCCTTGCACGAATTGCATTGCTATCTATGGGATTTCCTTTTCTATTTTGGTCAGAAATCCACACAAATAATGCTGATTCCATCATAAACATCACACTGTTTCTTACTTGTGACACTTGCTTGGCTGAGGGCGGAGCAGTAGATGCTAGTGCCGCCCTTATCTTCGCCTCATTTTTCTTGATAGAGCGCACTGTGCTTTTGTTTACATTAAATAATTTTCCAATGGCAGAATTGCTAAAATAACCTTCCCTACACTTGTCTAGCAATTTCACATTCTTCTCCAGATTCATGACTTTCTTTGAGTGCTTAGGGGTTGGCTTATCAATAGCAGTTGCTGCTTGCTTGGGGGCCATACTTGCACCACCACCACAAACACACATGTACAGTAGGACACGAACAGTAACTGGACACGACCGATGCAATCAGTAACTGGACAATGACTGAGTGAGTGGTGGATTGTTGGGCTGCTGGTTAAGGGGATAAGAGAGAGGGTAGTAGGGATGCAGCAGGAAGCATTTTCCTGTACTTTTTTCTTGCATTTGTTTGGTAAATATGGTTGGGCGGCTGGGCATTCGCGAATGTTCAAAGCTCGCAAAAGTGGAGGGCTAGCTGTAATATGAGGGTCTGCTGTATAGCATGGACTTGGGTGCATATCTGAGGTTCTTGCATTGATGTTGATGAAGAGTTGTCATTAGGTGATGGTTTTACTTGAATGCTCAGGTAGTCAGTATTGTGTTTCTGGTCTGTTTTACTCTGCAGTATTTTATTCAGTTGACATGAAGGAATCATCAGCTGCTCCAGACCCTGCTTCAGAGCAGTGCTTCTAGATATGTGAGGGTCATCTTCAGTTATAGTCTGTAATTTTACTAACAGCATGAAACTGCTTATGTAGCTGTTAAAATTAAAATGTTAAGTTGTATCTGCAGGTTGTTCCTCATACTTATTTGTTTTTTCCTTCCTTCTATCTGGGAATTAAACTCACCAGTATTTCTTCTGGTAATCTTTTTTCCTCATCTTCAAAGATTTTGTTCATGTCTCCTGGCTGCATATCTTCAAAGCTATCACCCAGTAATCTCCTTGCAAGATTACAATTTCTTGAGCCTGGCTCTCAGCCGAAGGAAAAACCTGTGAAATTATTCACCACACCAGGCCATAATTTTCCCCAACCTACATTTAGTGAGTGTCTTACTTCATTCCATGCACTTTTGATGTACTTGATTGCATCTGCAGTGTTAAATATATGCTAGAACTCTGGCACCCCCAAGCTCCGAGTCAGCATCTATGCTGCACTGAGTTTCCATATAACCCTGTGGGTAGTTGCACTTTAGTGGCTTAACTCCTCAATCCAGTGGTTGTATCAATGTTGTCGTATTTTGTGGTAAAAACACAACTTTCATGTGTGTGCACATTCCCCAAGAGCTCAGGATGAATACGGGAATTATCAAGAGTGAGGAGAATCTTGAATACTAGATTATTGCTGTGCAAGTAAGATGTGCCTTTAGAATAAGATGATGCTTAAAGTAGTCATTCATGTTTAGCTGGTGAGACCTCTGAAATAGCAGCAAAGTGCTTTTGTCTTTAACTTTTAAAGCATGGGGAATCTTGAAGCATTAAATAACCATGGGTGTATAGTTGAAATCACCTAATGCCTTACCACACAGAAGCAAGCTGAAATGATCCTTTGCTGCCTTGAATCCATGCACACTTTTTTCTTCCTGGCTGATAAAAGTTCTAGGCAGCATCTTTCAACAAACACTTGTCAACTTTAAACACTTGCTGTAGCTCATAGTCACCCAATTCCAATTCTGCAGGGGAATTCCTGGTGGCATCATGATCAGCAGATGCACTTTCCTCGGAAAATTTAATTTTACGTAACTTAAGCAATTTTAACTTTTGAAATCAGCCAAAACTAAGCACACACTCTTGTTCAGGCCTTCCTTCATCCTACATTGCTTTATAGTACATGTATGAGAAAGCTTTCTCCCTTTCTGCCCAATCTATTTGTTGATTATTTTTTTCCACCTAATTATGTGATTTGTCATTCTTTTCAGATCACAACCTGGCTGACTCATTGCACAAAATTACTTTAACTTTATTCTTGTTAGTACTACTAATTTATGGTTTACTGAGACCAAAGGCTCTTGCCATCTCCATCACATGTGCATCACATTTAAGTTTAAGTAAGTTTGTTTAGGTACAGGTACACATAAGTACGTGTATTTACAAACAAATCTCTCGATCCACAGCAGGATTCAAACCCTGGATTAAAAGATAATATTTATAAATAATTTCGCCTGTTTGTGAATTCTTAAGCATAGTATATGTGAAAATTACCTAGGATAACCCAAAAAAGTCAGACAGAGTGACTTATTTCCATTTGGGTTTATCTGAAATTTCCATTTGTTGCAAGACATGAATTTTTTTGTTCTTATTCTTCTTGGCATCTCTATCATCATTCTTATTTCTATTGAGTGCCATGATTAGTACCCAGAGATGAGATAGACTGATAATACGATCAGAATTCAGTTCACTAACATGACTGAATATGGTTTGGGACACACATGCATGGAAAACTGGCAGTATGCAGTGTTTACAGTAAATGATAGTAGGCTTTTCTCACAAAAATAGTGGTCGAGTCCAAAGGCTAACTGCAAAAGGAAAGATCCCACAGAATGCTATATTTTTTTCATAAATTTGCACCTAGAAGATTGCTGAATGCTCATCAAAAATATGCTGCAAATTTTCAACTATGTCATAGCAATAGCATGTAGAAAGATTGCATGTAAAAGAGAATCAAATGTACTGTTGATATAATTTTTTCAACCACTTTTAAGTCACTTTCATATAATGTATACATCTTTTTCTTTAATTAGTATGTTAATGAGTTGTGTTTTCACAGGAGGTGCGTGGAGGAAAATCATTCCAGAAGCTTGGGTATGCTGATGTTAACCTCGCAGAGTTTGCTGGATCAGGAGGCTCTCAGAGGTACCTACTGGAAGCATATGATTCTAAACACCGGCTTCACAACTCTATGTTAAAAGTCACTGTAGATATGACTTTGTTATCTGGTGATCCCTGCTTTAAAGCGTAAGTATACATATAATTCTTGAAAAATTATTTCTTCTAGAGGAACTTCCTGATTTATGTAGCTGCTTTCATAGTTTTGCACTTGAGACAGTGTAGCATTGTATTCCACACCTTTATATATATGAAAAGTTTTATTTTTTTATTACTTAACATTCCCAGTAGTTCCCACCCATAATATATGAGTGAATACCAGTGATGTATGGTGGGTTATTGTCACAGGTTGTGTGCTGTGCATGATACAATTAGCTGTGGGGTGTGCAGTGCTATCTTAGAATAACTGACACAGTATTTCATAACAGGGGACAGAAAAATTAGTTTTCCATTATGATCTATGATTATATTATTGAGTGAGCTTAATATTTATGATGAATTTACCATCTTTGGTGGGTGTGCAGCATTCACCTAGCACACCCAGAATATACGCTCCTGGTGAATACATGTATACATATATGTATGAAAGAAGTAAAGTCACCTAAGGATTGGCAGAGAGAATACATGGTTCCTCAGGAGAGAGAGAGAATGAGAATAAATAAATGAATTACAGTGGAACCCCGGATTTCATCCTTAGTCCATTCCAGAAGGTCAGTCTAAATCTGAAACAGACGAAAACCGAAGCAATATTTCCCATAAGAAATAATGTAAATACAATTAATCCGTTCTAGACACCCAAAAATATTAACAAAAAGTACATTTTTTAAAGAATAACTATAGTTTTACGTATAGAAAACAATGAGGAAGAAATATAAATGACTAATGAAATGGATAAATGAACATTTAACATCACACCTACCTTTATTGAGGACTTTTTGGGGTATGGATGGCAAGGAGGGGAGAGGGAGGAGGAACAGAGGTTATTGTTTGGAAGGGGAATCCCGCTTCATAAGGACTTCAGGTATCAAAGTCCTATCCGGGGTTACGTCCTTTCTTTGACTTTTACTAGAACTGGACCCCTTTCGCACTAAAAATCTGTCCAGAGGGCTCTGTTTCTGGCGTCTCTTTAAGATCTACCTAAAATGGGACAAGGTATTGTCACTGAACATATTGCAGATACAGCTTGTATCAGCTTGGTCAGGGCGATATTTTTTCCACAAAAGTTTGCACCTCATTCTTCTTTGCACAAATGTACTTAATCACTGAAGAAGGCACCTTCACCCCTCTCTCTTCCTCCTCCTCTGAAGCAATTTCCTCAGCTGTGGTCTGTTGCTGTTCCAGATGAAGGTCTTGCAGCTCTTCAGTGGTTAGCTCTTCCATGTGGTCCTCCACCAACTCTTCCACATCCTGGCCACTCACATCCAACCCCATGGACTTCCCCAAAGACACAGTAGATTCCACAACAGGCATAGGGTCGGCAGGGTCAGCCTCAAACCCTTCAAAATCTTTGTCGAGGACACATTCTGGCCACAATTTTCTCCAAGCACTCAATAAACAAGCACAAAAAACAATGGATTATTACAAAATGTTTCGGATGAATGCTCACTCAACCAGTGACAGCCAGACTGAGACATAAGTGGCGGCGTCCTGGGTGGGTGGACACATCTGATATGGACGATATCCAGGACGAGGTATAAAATCCAGAGCAAAATTTCGCCAAAAAAGAGGTTGAAATCTGAATTGTATGTTATCCGGTGCGAACGAAATCTGGGGTTCCACTGTGTACCTGAATAAGTTTCTGTTCCTCTCTTCTCTGTTTTTTCTTAAATTTAATTAGAATAATTGCCCTAGTATGTATTTTGGAATGTATTTATGTAATAATTAGAAAGTCTCAATTCCTGCAACGCTTCACAGTTTTACAACATAAGATCAATAACACAATTTTTTAAGAAGACAAAAACCACTGTAGCTCCAGTAACCACTGGTGGATCCCATTTGAGTTGACTAGGACCTGCATATTATACTGTACACAAAACTGATTTGGAGGAAACATACTTTTAACAAATTTGCTAAGTAATTTCTTCAAGTCATAGTACACTAGAGTAAATGCAACTGTTCATGATTTGTCTTTTCTTTCTTTCAACACACCGGCCGTATCCCACCGAGGCGGGGTGGCCTAAAAGGAAAAACGAAAGTTTCTCCTTTTACATTTAGTAATATATACAGGAGAAAGGGTTACTAGCCCCTTGCTCCCGGCATTTTAGTTGCCTCTTACAACACGCATGGCTTACGGAGGAAGAATTCTGTTCCACTTCCTCATGGAGGTAAGAGGAAATAAACAAGAACAAGAACTAGAAAGAAAATAGAAGAAAACTCAAAGGGGTGTGTATATATATGCTTGCACATGTATGTGTAGTGTGACCTAAGTGTAAGTAGAAGTAGCAAGACATACCTGAAATCTTGCATGTGTATGAGACAGAAAAAAAAAGACACCAGCAGTCCTACCATCGTGTAAAACAATTACAGGCTTCAGTTTTACACTCAATTGGCAGGACGGTAGTACCTCCCTGGGCAGTTGCTGTCTACCAACCTACTACCTAGAATGATTTGTTTTTACTGTAGTTAATTTAAGAGTTGTGTAACCCAAAAATGAAAAGTGCCATTTACTGTGTGTGTGTGTGTGTGTGTGTGTGTGTGTGTGTGTGTGTGTGTGTGTGTGTGTGTGTGTGTGTGTGTGTGTGTGTGTGTGTGTGTGACTGTGAGTGAGAAACAAAGCTGAAGGGGGTAGGAGAGTTTTAGTGGGGAGAAATAAATGGGATTAGGTCAGGGGGCTGAGGAAAGAGTAGTGATAATGTTGAAGGATCAGTTATGGCAGGAAAAGAGGGAATATAAATGTATAAATTCAAGGATTATGTGGAGTAAAATATGGGTCAGTTGTGAAAAGTGGGGTACTGTATAGTAAATGCTTATGCACTGGGAGAGGAGAGAGAGAGATTGAGTGATTGATTGATTGATTGATTGATTTTGGGAGATATTGAGCGAGTGCTTGGGGAGTTTTGAACCAAGTAAGAGAGTACTTGTGGTGGGGAACCTAAATGCTGAAGTGGGTAAAACTGTTGTGGAGGGAGGAGTAGGTAAGTTTGGGGTACCAGGAGTAAATGAAAATGTGGGGTAGGGGTCTTTAATTTAACTATGTATAGAAGAGGTTTGGTAAAAAGTAATACATATTTTAAGAAAAAGAGGATAAATAAGTATACAAGATATGATATAGCACATAATGAAAGTATAGTTTGTTAGATTATGTATTGGTGGATAAAAGGTTGATGAGTAGACTTCAGGATGTGTATGTTTATAGAGGGGCAACAGATATATCAGATCATTATTTAGTTGTAGCTACAATTAGAGTAAGAGGTAGATGAGGCAAAAGGAAAATGGCAACAGCAAGTATGAGAGAGGTGAAAGTTTATAAACAAAGGGAGGAGGAAGATGGGGTGAGATATAAGCAACTATTGGGAGAAAGGTGGGCTAGTGAGAGTATAAGTAGTGTGGGGGGTTGAAGAGGGTTGGGATAGTTTTAAAAATGCAGTGTTAGAAGGTGGGGCAGAAATTTATGGCTATAGGAGGTTGGGTGCAGGAGGAAAGAGGAGCGATTGGTGGAATGATGAGGTATAGGGTGTGGTAAAAGAAAAAAAAGGTCATTTATAAGAGGTTTTTACAAAGAAGTGACATAAGAAGGGGAGAGTAAAAGAGAGGTGAATAGAGTGGTGAGGGAGTTCAAAAGGAGAGCAAATAATAGAGTGGGTGAGGCACTGTCAGCAAATTTTGCTGAGAATAAGAAAACTTTTTGGAGATAAATAGGTTAAGAAAGCCTAGGGAACAAATGGATTTGACAGTTAAAAACAGAATAGGGAAGTTAGTAGATGGGGAAATAGAGGTACTTGGGTAGTTGGTGGGAATATTTTGAGGAGTTATTAAATGTTGGTGAAAAGAGGGAGGCAGTAATTTCATGCATTAGCCAGGGAGGTATAACATCTTTTAGGAGTGAAGAAGAGCCGGATGTGAGTGTGGGGGAGGTGCATGAGGCATTGGGTAGAATGAAAGGGGGTAAAGAAGCTGGAACTGATGGGATCATGACAGAGATGTTAAAGGCAGGGGGTATATTGTTTTGGAGTGGTTGGTACTTTTGTTCAGTAAATGTATGAAAGAGGGGAAGGTAACTAGGCATTGGCAGAGAACATGTATATTTCCTTTATATAAAGGGAGGGGGGACAAAAGAGATAGTAAAAATTTATGGGAATAAGTTTACTGAGTATACCAAGTAAAGTATATGGTAGGGTTACTATTGAAAGAATTAGAGGTAAGACGGAGAGCAGGATTGCAGATGAACAAGGAAGCTTTAGAATGGGTAGGGTATGTGTAGACCAAGTATTTATATTGAAGCATATAAGTGAACAATATTTAGATAAAGATGGGTAAGTTTTCATTGCATTTTTGGATTTAGGAAAGAAGGGATAAGGGAGCAATGTGGCAGATGTTGCAAGTGTATGGAAGAGGTAGTAAGTTAGTAAATGCTGTAAAGAGTTTTTATGAGGATAGTGAGGCTCAGGTTGGGGTGTGTAGGAGAGAGGGAGATTACTTTCCAGTAAAAGTAGGCCTTAGACAGGGGATGTGTAATGTCACTGTGATTTGTTTAATATATTTATAGATGGAGTTGTAAAAGAAGTAAATGCTAGGGTGTTGGGGAGAGGGGTGGGATTAAATTATGGAGAATCAAATACAAAATGGGAGTTAACATAGTTACTTTTTGCTGATGATACTGTACTATGGGAGATTCTAAAGAGAAGTTGCAAAGGTTAGTGAATGAGTTTGGGAGAGTGTGTAAAGGAAGAAAGTTGAAAGTGAACATAGGTAAAAGTAAGGTGATGAGGGTATCAAACGAGTTGGGTGAAGAAAAATTGGATTTCACATTGGAGCGAGGGAGTATAGAAGAAGTGAATGTGTTCAGATGTTTGGGAGTAGACTTGTCAGCAGATGGGTTTATGAAGGATGAGGTTAACCATAGAAGTGATGAAGGAAAAAAGGTGAGTGGTGCATTGAGGTATCTGTGGAGACAAAAAGTGTTATCCATGGAAGCAAATAAGGAAATGTATGAGATTAATAGTGGTACCAACACTCTTTAATGGGTATGAAGCTTGAGTTGTAAATTTTGCAGCAAGGAGGAGGCTGGAGGCAGTGGAGATGTCATGTCTAAGGGTACTGTGTGGTGTAAATATTATGCAGAGAATTTGTAGTGTGGAAATTAAGAGAAGGTGTGGAGTTACTAAGAGTATTATTCAGAGGGCTGAAGAGGGGGGTTGTTGAGGTGGTTTGGTCATTTAGAGAGGATGAAGCAAAATAGGATGGCTTGGAGGGTAGTGGAGGGGAGGAGGGGTATGGCTTTTCCTGGGAAAGGATGAAGGGAGGGGGGTAAAAGAGGTGTTGTATGCAAGGGTCTTTGACATGCAGCAGGCATGTGTGAGCATGTTAGATGGGAGTGAATCGAGGTGATTGGTTTTTTGGACCTGATGAACTGTTGAAGTGTGAGCAGGGTAATATTTTGTGAAGGGATTCAGGGAAACCAGTTAGCTGGACTTGAGCCCTGGAGGTGGGAAGTACAATGCCTGCACTTTAAAGGAAGGGTTTGAGATACTGGCTGTTTGGAGTGACATCTAAACTGTCATATCTGAGCACCTCTGCAAAGACCGGCCATATCCCACCAAGACAGGGTGGCCCAAAAAGAAAAACTTAAGTTTCTCTTTTTAAATTTAGTAATTTATACAGAAGGGGTTACTAGCCTCTTGCTCCTGGCATTTTAATGATCTCTTACTACATGCATGTTTTGCAGAGGAAAGATTCTTGTCCACTTCCACTTGGAGTTACTCTGACATGTTCAGTGATTTTTTTTTTTTTTTTTATTATATTTTAGTCAACCGTCACGAGGCACTCGGTACCAACCTCCTTCAGAAGTTGGGGCTGAGGAGGTTCCACCAAGCAGACCAACATCTGGTTCCCTTGCATCACTGACATCCTCAGGTTATGATTCTCTCAAGAAGAAAGTTAATGGTATGTTATTCTTACATTAATTTTAGTTTCTTCTCATCCTGTAGTACATTAGTTTTTTATTCACAATTTCATATATTAAAAAATAAAGTTGAGCCCCAAATTCTTGGGGGCTACATTCCTAAAGGGCTCATAAATTTGTACTCCACAAACGATACCAAATTCTGTCTGTATGATAAATTGTTTCATATTTAGGCTTATTTTGTGTAAATGTCACTATAATTTAATTAATATTGACATTTGTAATAATGCCCAGAAGGAAAAGTGATTTGGGCATAGGATATGCACTGAAAACATTTCGAGCAAAATCCTGTAGTCAGTTGTTTCAGGAAGCTCCTATTCTAGCCCCCCTCCTATCCTTGCAAATAAAATGGGCACCCCTACAAAAACTTCATATAATTGAAGCTATTCATACAATACCTATCATTAAACACTTTACATAATCAGATCTTGTGAATCATAAGTTCATGAATTTGGTAGTTCGACTATATTGTACTATATAATGTTTGTTATTTGAGTTAGGTATATTTATATTATAAAATATTTATTCATCACTAATGTCTTTTCATTATAAACTAATTAGATATATTATGCACACAATGATGTCTTATGGCAGTTAATTGCATTTAAACAGTGAAAGGTAGGGCAAAAACATTTACTGTATATATTCCATGGCATAGACAAAAAGTGACTTTAATAACATTCTTGAAACAAAGTTTCTGTAAAGCTGTGATTCAGCTTCTGTATTTGATTATCTCTCTAGGAGTGACGTGGCAGCTGGGGCTGGTGCACTGGGCAGACCAAGTTGTCAGCTGTTTTAAAGGTCCTTACATAAGCTTTCTGAAAAGGTTAATGCAAAATGAAAGTCTCTTACTCTGACCCAGTTTTAACATTTAGAGTATTTAGTTGCATTCTGTAAATACAATAAATAAAAGAAAAATCAGAGAGTGGACTTTTACCTTGCCTAGATAAGGAGAAAATATTTCATTACTCATGCTCATTTTTACAGGAGCTCAGAAAAATAATTCTAAAAATTAATCAAAACAAAATTAAATTAATACAGGCATACTTCAGTATACACTGCCCCCTTGCCTGACACCATCATGGAACTGTAGAGTATAATCTGGCAAGCCATGTTTTTAATTTCTCTTTTATCCCTTTGACGTCACAACCCCAAATCCTGAGGTGTCTCCTGGTGTTGCAAAATTTGAAAAAAAAAAAAAAAATCTTATGAAATGATAGAGAATCTTTTCCCGATGGTAATAACACCAAAGGATGAAATTTGATGGAAAAATTATGGAATTACGCTCTCACAAAGTTAGTGACCTCGGCGATATTTACGAATCGGCAATTTCACCCACTTTGAGCCCTATTTTTAGCCAATTCCATTGTTCCAGTCAACCAAACTCATAGCTATTTCTCTAGAACTCAGTTTGTTCTATCGATTGAGTACAAGAAACTGCCCATTTACTGATTTCGACTATCCAATAAAGTGGTCAGAAATTGGCAATTTGGCCAATTTCACGCAAATTAAAAAATATGCCAGTTTCAAAATAGGGTCCAGAATGAACAATGCAGACATTCCTGGCTCTAAAATGACATTTTCTTTGTTGATCAGTCACATTTCCAAGCCCCTCTGATATTACTCTTGCTTTCTATTATGAATTTTTATTCAAACAAAAAATAGAAGATTTACTGTTATTGTAATAATGTTGGTAGAATTACCGACAATATGTAAAGTAAAAGGACACAAGTGCAACTAATGTGACATTTTATTGTGGCAACATTTCGCTCTCCAGGAGAGCGAAACGTTGCCACAAAAAAATGTCACATTAGTTGCACTTGTGTCCTTTTACTTTACATTTACTGTTATGCAGACTACTGCAATATTTTGATAATTGTATAAATAATGTCAACCCATTCATGACTGTTTATTACAATGGCTAGTTGGACATTTATTGGACAATGATGTCATTTGTTTACTCTTGAACACAAGCAAAAATCAAGCAATTCCCTTACTTTGAGCTCCATTTCCAGGTGCTTTTCATAGTAAAACCAGTCAAAATCACCTCCATTTCTATAATGTTTTCCATTCTATCAAATGTGACTACAAAAACAAGAATATAACCATAAAAACTTTACGAAAATGCACCTAGAAGTCGGCGCTTTAATCCTAAAACACGATGATTTTTTTTTCTCATTATGCACTGCTTGCTGCAGGATTTTTTTATACTGCACACACTGACCACACAGACCCATTCTCTCACATGTGGGCCTACCAGCTTTCTCCCGCTTGATTTGAAGCCGCTAGAATTTTTGAGTGTATGTACGTCAAACAAATTGGTTCGTAAGACGTATACAGGTACCATCCGACTTAGGACTGAGTTTGGTTTCGACAAACTGGTTGTAAGTCAAACTGGATGCAAGTCGAACCTTACTGCTGAGTATCGACATTACATTTTTGTAATGACTTTATTTTATTGTTTTATTTTGGTATTATTTACTTTACTTTTTATGCTGTTAGTACTATATTTTATACTATAAGGTTTAGGATAAACACTGTGTACAACACAAACAGTTGTTTATTTCCCAGAAATTTGGCATAGAAAACACGGTCGTAATTCGAATGGTTGTATGTCGAGCAGGTCATAAGTATATATATATAGGTGTAATATTTTAATATATATATATATATATATAAAATATATATTTTATATATATATATATATATAATATATTATAGGTGTGTGTAAATATATATATTATATAATATTATAAATATATATTAAAATATAAATAAATTATTAATTATTTAGGAAGGTGTGTTTTTATTTATTTTGGGTCTGTAAAATATAATTACTTCAAATATTTTATAAAAAAATTATAATATAAATACTATAATAAAAAATTTTAATATTATATATATATTAATAATTAAAAGTAAATTAAAACTATTAAGTAAATTGAATAGAAAAAAATGATGTATTAAGACACCCCTGCGACAAAATGGGTTTTAATGAAGTGCTTTTCGGATTTGGGCTGGAAAGAAAAACAATAAAAGGCATAATACTGTGACTAGAACAATACACAAATACCCACACATAGGAGACTGAAACTTATGATGACATTTTGGTCCAACTTAGACCATTAATTTAGTCCCACAGAAGTGCGAAGGAAAGGGAGCCAGTGCATATATATGAAGGGAGGCAGGGTCAGGAGTAGAATTAGAGGAGGTAGTAGCAAAATGGAAGATGTAATGGTAGAGGTAGTGGTGGTAGTAGTATTTGTATTAGTAGTGCAGCATTAGCAGAAGTGGCAATAGGAAGGAAGTAGTGGTAGTGACACAAGAGTCAGAGAGTGGAGTGTTAGCAGAGCAATAGTAGTAGTAGTAGTAGTGGACATAGTTTAAGGGCAAAAGAAATGAAGCACTGCAGGAGAGTTAATGGCCAGTGAGGGCAGGACAATAACCCAGGAGGAAAAACTCAAAAGTCAGAACCCACCTAGGCAGAAGAAAGGAAAGGCAAAGAAAGGAGAAGCAGTAAGGGGAGATAAAGATCAGGTCAAGTCCCAAGTAGTCTGAAATTTGGAGCATTTGACAATGTAATGAGAAAGGAAGGCATCTACAGAGAGAAAGCCAGGACTAAGATTCATGTTACGAAAGTTGTGTATAAGGGATGCTTCAACAAGACAGCATCGATGAAGGCTAGAAGGAGGGTAGAAAATTTTGGCAGAGGACCAATTAATAGGATGACTGTGATCTTTAACACAACAGAAAAGAGCATTATTGGTGTCAGCAAGTCCAACACTTTTGTGCTTCTTAAGTCTGTCAGAAAGAGAGCGGTCAGTTTCTCCAAGGTATTGGAGAGGACAAGAGGAGCAGGAAATGGAGTAGATTCGAGAAGTCTTGGTAGCAGAAGGAGAGGGTTATTTGTGTATTCTTTTATTGAATCCAATTTCTCCACTTTCTTGTGCACTGAATGTTTGCTACAGTATGTAGCCACCCTTTTCAAATATTTGCAGCAAAGGTGGAGAAATGTGTAAGAGTACATGTAACTGCATCTATAAAATCAGTTATTTTTTTTTACATTTATCATATGCAATACTTAAAAGGTTGATAAGACACATGCAGCACATGGCTATCCTTCTTTATGAAAAAAATTTGCTAAACATTTGCTTTTTTTTTTAAATGAATTATGTTGGAGACTGGAAGATTAGATAATTTGAGCTGTTCAGTCTCTCACTTTTGAGGGACTGATAAGTTTTTGCCCTTGCTGTTCTTTTTTAAATGTAAACATATCTACTCATTGTATATTTCTCAGTCAATTGTTTGAAATATTTGAAAAGTTGGCTACACACAGCAGCAAATATTCATTGTACAAAAAAGTTGAGAAACTGGATGTTCTTTCATAAATCTTGAGAAAGAAAACTTCTAACCACTTGCCTTCAATCCTAATAGTAGGTTAATGGACATAATCAGTACCTGAGCTGATAGGGGTGTCCCCTAATATTTGAAATATGTTGAAGCTCCTGAAAAAAATTGAGCTTTCTTGAGAAGTTTTGCAGGATTCTCTTATTTTAATAAATTGCACAGACATCTTAATAGACCTATTGTCATGACATTGGAGCGTGGCATTTCCACACACATCTCATGTTAAGACATGCAGCATTCTGTTTTGCTGAAGAAGCTTCAGAAATGCTAACTATATGCACCAGAAAGTGTTCACAGTGGTTGAAAGACCTACTTTCTTAGCAGCCACAGCCTGGTTGACCAGGCAAGCACCAGACAAGCCAGGTCTATTTATTGCATTACATGCATGGATAGTTACTATATTTTCCAGCATATGAGGTGCATTTTCTTTTCCCCCCAAAAAAAGTCTCAGAAAATCATCCCATGCCTTGTATGCTCAAGGTCAGGAACAAGGGTACACTTTGGGTTACAGGCAAGTAGTGGTTTCAGTGCTGCAGCACCGTAAACCTAACTCCAAACAACCCCCAGAACTGTTTTCTAGATTACTTTAGAATGATTGGTAACTATTATAAATTATGTATTGCTGGGACATAATAAGTAAACCAGCTGTAGCAGTTGTAGAGTAAGCACCTGTGAACAACAGGTAGCCATGCTCGTTTTGGTGCTTGGTGGTGAAGTAACCACCAACAGGCTGTGCAAGGTCTGACCTCTTTCACCTACCCTGTATGCATAAGCAGCCAACCACTGGCTCACTATCATTTTGAAGCAAGTACTGCATTTCTAATTTTTCTCAGAATATGCCTGCCAAAATTGGGATGTGCCTTACATGCCGGAAAATATTAGATATTGGTACATTTATGAGTAAATCTAGGTGTAAATATATTCAAAAAGCTTGGTTTAATACTTTAGGCTTATTAATCCCATTTATTGGTTGCACTGTAATATTCTGAAATTGTGACATCGAGTGGAAGCATTAAGTGAGGTATGCCTGTACCATACAAAAATTGATTATTTGAACATTGGCATTGAATATCCCATACAACATTTACTAGAAAGAAATGACAAAAAATATTATAGTAACTTATTTTCTTATGCTCTCATTAATATTCCAACTGCTGTAATTCCCTTATCTTGCTTTTCATTCAGAGAATCCTTTTCTTCAAATGCTGAAGTCCTCTTTCTGTGCAATTTCAATGTTCACTATATTGTCTAGCTTTGATCTTCTTTCACTGAATCTTAAGGAGATGCATCTTAACCCTTTCACTGTCCGTACCCCTGAAACTAAAATTGCTCCTTGTGTCCACTTAAAAGAAATAATTCTTCTGAAATGGTGGAGAATGTCTTTTGTGAAGGTATTGATGCCAGAAGTATGAAATTTGATCGAAAACTTATGGAATTATGCAGACTCAAAGTTTGCGCTCAGACTGCTATTTATGCATTAGCAATTTCGCTGACTTTGAGTATTATTTTAAGTTCCATTCAACCAGATTCTTAGCTACTTTGCTAGTATCCCTTCTGTTCTATTTATTGAGCACAAGAAACTGCCCATTCACCTATAAAGTGAACAGAAATTGGTAATTTAGCCAGATTTACACAAAAAAATACAAATTTAAAAATATGCAAAATAAACAGTGTAGACATTCCTGGCACTAAAACTAACATTTCCTCTGTTCACTAATCATATCCCCAGGCCTCCTATATTACACTTGCCCTTTCATAATTGCTTAAATTGAAGATTTACTCTATTTCCAAGATAATAAAATATAACCAGGAATGATTGGGCGTGGCTTACAGCATCCCAATAATTGAATCAGACCTATTAAAAACCCATAAAACAGACTTGGGGGGGGGGGGCATAGGGGACGTACCCATTCTAAGGAAAATGGGCAAAACTTGAATATCTCTGCTACCTTGAGCCCAATTTCATGCTACTTCTGGCACTGAAACAAACCAGAATCATCAATAATAGTGGGTCTTCCATTCTATCAAGTACAGTGGTACCTCGAGTTTCGAACAGCTCTCGGCTTGAACAATTATGCAAGTGTGTTTTTGTAAGTGCTTTTGTAAGTGTATTTTTGGGGGTCTGAAACAAACTAATTTAATTTACATTATTCCTTATGAGAACAAATTCGTTCGGTATCGGCACTCGAACAGCCTTCTGGGACGAATTGAGTTCGTAACTCGAGATGCCACTGTAATACCAAAATACGGCCAATAAAACCATAAAAATCATCCACGACAACAACTCAGTTGCTATTCTAAACCAAACACTTGGCCAGAGTTTTGCTTTTCCCATCATGCATCATGTGGGGCAGGCCCATTTTCACATATCTAGGCCAAAATTTACTGTTCAGGGCTTACCTGAGTAAGCTGAGCTCATGATGTAGAACTGCTCAAGGGGTCTCTGGCATCAGTGACGTAGTTGTACGTGAGGGACACTGAAAGGGATAAACAACCAATATGCATTACTCCTGAACTCATGATATATTAATTTCTGTTGATATTTCACTATTTTTTACTGCCAGCCCTTTTTAAGATTTGATTGTATCTTCATTTTAGAATGTTGCTCTGTGGAACTCCTCCAAATTTCACCCTGCTATATTGTGTTACCTCAATTAATCTATGATAAAGTCAAGCTCTTTAGCACTTGCACTTCTAACTTTAACTTGTGTGATTTCAATTTGTGGTGACATAAAGGCATGGGCAGCAGTAGCTTGGTTGATCGGGCAGTCAACAAAGAAGTCTAACCTCATAGTGGGCTGTGAGAGCAGGACTCCTCTTGAAGATTCATTCTCTTTGATGGATGCCACTAACACCTTCATCGAGATTCTGGTGCCATCAGCAAAAGATGTTCTTGATGTCCTCGTTAATGTCAGATATAAGAATGAGAAATAGTGGGGCAAGTACTGTGACCCGAGGAACAGAACTTTTCACTGTGGCAGCCTCTGACTTCACTCTTTATATCGCTACTCTTTGGGTTCTGTTTGTAAAGAAGTTAAATATTCATCTACCCATTATAGCAGCTATTCATTTTGCATGTATTTTGTGCACTACCACACCATAGTTGCACATAACGAAGGCTTTTGTGAAATCAGTGTACACAACATCAGCATTTAGCTTGTCTTCTGGTGCATCCAAGATCATATCATAATGGTCCAGCAGTTGTGAAAGGCAGGAGCGACCTGCTCTGAACCCATGCTGCCCTGGATTGAACAATTGTCACAGTTTCATGTGATTGTCACTCTTGCTTTTCAGGACCCATTAATTATTTTCATATTAAGTGAAGTTAGTACTATTGGTCTGTAGGTTTTTTGCAATTGCTTTACTGCCACCTCTAAGAAGTGGGACAATATCAGTGGTTTTTAATGACTGGGATGACCAGCTCCCTCTCCACAGAATACTAAAAACCCAAGATAATATTTATTTGCAATTTTTGATGACTATGGAATTCTACTTTGGTGGAACTCCATATTCATCCCATTAAGATTCCATTTTAAAAGATTTTAGGGCCTTTTATTACCTTTTGCATGGTGCCTCTGACATGGTTCAGGATCTTCACTTTGAATGTAGCATGTGGATATGTTAAACATAAATGTGGCATTTTTTGAAAAAATAACTAATCTTTTCATTTCTTATTTTTGTTATTAATTTTCTATTTTGGGTCATCCTGCCATGGTGACCAGTATTTGATTTTATATTATGTATTATTATTATGTTAGTGTTTATACTGGTATTATTTATTGTTATTACAAAAATATAATATATAGGTAGTAAGTTGGTAGACAGCAACCACCCAGGGAAGTACTACAGTCCTGCCAGATGACTGTGAAACAGAAACCTGTAACTGTTTTGCATGATGGTAGGATTGCTGGTTTCTTTTTCTGTCTCATAAACACGCTAGATAACAGGGATATCTTGCTACTCCTGCTTACACTTTGGTCACTCTGGTCACAGACCGGGCCACAGGGACGTTGACCCCCGGAACTCTCTCCAGGTAAACTCCAGGTAAACACTTCACAGACACGCACATGCATATATATATACATACATCTAGGTTTTTCTCCTTTTTCTAAATAGCTCTTGTTCTTCTTTATTTCTTCTATTGTCCATGGGGAAGTGGAAAAGAATTTTTCCTCCGTAAGCCATGCGTGTCGTATGAGGCGACTAAAATGCCGGGAGCAATGGGCTAGTAACCCCTGTAGACATTTACTAAAAAAGAGAAGAAGAAAAACTTAATAAAATTGGGATGCTTGAATGTGCGTGGATGTAGTGCGGATGACAAGAAACAGATGATTGCTGATGTTATGAATGAAAAGAAGTTGGATGTCCTGGCCCTAAGCGAAGCAAAGCTGAAGGGGGTAGGGGAGTTTCGGTGGGGGGAAATAAATGGGATTAAATCTGGAGTATCTGAGAGAGTTAGAGCAAAGGAAGGGGTAGCAGTAATATTGAAGGATCAGTTATGGAAGGAGAAAAGAGAATATGAATGTGTAAATTCAAGAATTATGTGGATTAAAGTAAAGGTTGGATGCAAAAAGTGGGTCATAATAAGTGTGTATGCACCTGGAGAAGAGAGGAATGTAGAGGAGAGAGAGAGATTTTGGGAGATGTTAAGTGAATGTATAGGAGCCTTTGAACCAAGTGAGAGAGTAATTGTGGTAGGGGACCTGAATGCTAAAGTAGGAGAAACTTTTAGAGAGGGTGTGGTAGGTAAGTTTGGGGTGCCAGGTGTAAATGATAATGGGAGCTCTTTGATTGAACTTTGTATAGAAAGGGGTTTAGTTATAGGTAATACATATTTTAAGAAAAAGAGGATAAATAAGTATACAAGATATGATGTAGGGCGAAATGACAGTAGTTTGTTGGATTATGTATTGGTAGATAAAAGACTGTCCAAGTCGGACCGAAACGTCGTCGTAAGCTTCTCTCTTTTATGTGCGGGTTATTTGTGTATCGTTCCAGTCACGGTATTGTGCCTTTTTGTTATTTATTCAGGATGTACATGTTTATAGAGGGGCCACAGATATATCAGATCACTTTCTAGTTGTAGCTACACTGAGGGTAAAAGGTAGATGGGATACAAGGAGAATAGAAGCATCAGGGAAGAGAGAGGTGAAGGTTTATAAACTAAAAGAGGAGGCAGTTAGGGTAAGATATAAACAGCTATTGGAGGATAGATGGGCTAATGAGAGCATAGGCAATGGGGTCGAAGAGGTATGGGGTAGGTTTAAAAATGTAATGTTAGAGTGTTCAGCAGAAGTTTGTGGTTACAGGAAAGTGGGTGCAGGAGGGAAGAGGAGCGATTGGTGGAATGATGATGTAAAGAGAGTAGTAAGGGAGAAAAAGTTAGCATATGAGAAGTTTTTACAAAGTAGAAGTGATGCAAGGAGGGAAGAGTATATGGAGAAAAAGAGAGAGATTAAGAGAGTGGTGAAGCAATGTAAAAAGAGAGCAAATGAGAGAGTGGGTGAGATGTTATCAACAAAGTTTGTTGAAAATAAGAAATAGTTTTGGAGTGAGATTAACAAGTTAAGGAAGCCTAGAGAACAAATGGATTTGTCAGTTAAAAATAGGAGAGGAGAGTTATTAAATGGAGAGTTAGAGGTATTGGGAAGATGGAGGGAATATTTTCAGGAATTGTTAAATGTTGATGAAGATAGGGAAGCTGTGATTTCATGTATAGGGCAAGGAGGAATAACATCTTGTAGCAGTGAGGAAGAGCCAGTTGTGAGTGTCGGGAAAGTTCTTGAGGCAGTAGGTAAAATGAAAGGGGGTAAGGCAGCCGGGATTGATGGGATAAAGATAGAAATGTTAAAAGCAGGTGGGGATATAGTTTTGGAGTGGTTGGTGCAATTATTTAATAAATGTATGGAAGAGGGTAAGGTACCTAGGGATTGGCAGAGAGCATGCATAGTTCCTTTGTGTAAAGGGTAAGACGGAGAATAGGATAGCAGATGAACAAGGAGGCTTTAGGAAAGGTAGGGGGTGTGTTGACCAGGTGTTTACAGTGAAACATATAAGTGAACAGTATTTAGATAAGGCTAAAGAGGTCTTTGTGGCATTTATGGATTTGGAAAAGGCATATGACAGGGTGGATAGGGGGGCAATGTGGCAGATGTTGGAGGTGTATGGTGTAGGAGGTAGGTTACTGAAAGCTGAAATTTTTTTACAGGTAGTGAGGCTCAAGTTAGAGTATGGGGGAAAAGTGAAATTTTTTTCCCATGGTCGTGGTTCAGTGGTCAGTCAGTTTTCAGTGGTCAGTCGTCACGGGGGTCACAGCCCCGACTGTTTGGGGGATTAGCGTGGAGGGTTACAAAGCGGGCCTTGCTTCTACATTTTTTTAAAAGCGGGGTTTGGGGGTTGAAGGAGGAGGTTTGCTTCTCCAGGAGGAGTTAGGAGGCTGAAGGTCCCCTCAATGGGCCTGGGAAAGTGTGAGGGGTGGAGAGTGGGAATAGGCTTCTAGCAGTGAGGTGCAGTTGTCTCTACTGTGAGGGGGCTGTAGGGGGGTGGTACAACGGCTACCAGCATTAGGACAGTAGGGGGAGGTTACTGAAACAGTGAAGAGTTTTACAGGAAAGTGAGGCTCAAGTTAGAGTATGTAGGAAAGGGGGAAATTTATTCCCAGGGCAGTGGTTCAGGGGCAGTTCAGTGTTCAGTGGTCACCGTCAGTGGGTCACGACCCTGACTGTTGGGGATTAGGTGGGGGTTACAAAGATGGTTTCTTCTAAAGTGTTTTAAAAGCTGAGGTTGGAGATTAAAAGGAGGAGGTCTTGCTTCCGGAGGAGTTTAGGGGGCTGAAGGTCCCCCCTCAAGGGGCCTGGGAAGAGTGTGAGGTGGTTGGAGATGTGGGGAATGAGGCTTCTAGATGAGGTGCAGTCTTTCTCTCACTGTGAGGGGTGAGGTGGGGTGGTAGCAAGGCTACCAGCAGTGAGGTGCAGCCCCCACCTGCTACAAGGGGCGAGTTGTTCAAGTAATGGGGGGCGCATCAGAGTAAGGAAAGTTAAGAGGCAGATCTGAAGGTAGGAAACGCTTCTCTTTTTTCCCGGGATGAATTACTTCAGGGGCCATGAATAAGGGTACTACTGCCCCTGCTAATAAAGGGTAAGCGCTTTCTTGGGGTTTGGTGACTCTGGGTAAGATAGTTATCGTCTTTTTGAATAGGAATAAGGATAAAGGATAGGGTGCTTCCCTGGAGCTGGTGTTGGGAATTGTAAAAACAGACGGATAATATCAGTCAGGTAAGGGGAACAAGCCCATTACTGTCTCAGTGTGGGGGGAATGGGGGAAGGGTAGGAGAGAAGAGCTCAGATAATCAGGTAGCTATAGATTTCATTAATTCTAAGGGGGGATCCCAATCATATGTAGCATCTTGCCTAGAAGGGAGTGGGAAAAATGAATGGTTTCTAGGGAAATTTGGGTGTAAATTGCTGCTAGACAGATACTGAAAGGAAACTTGCAACCCCATTCATTGACAACTGGAACAACTTTTATGGCAAACAGATATGTATGAAAGGGATGGGGTTCATCTCTCGGGGGCAGGGGGGTAGCATTTGCAGACTCATTGAGAAGGCCTTTGTGAAACCCTATGATTTTAAACGATGGAAGATAAGGTATGGTGTGTGTGGGAAACAGCAGGTTGCAACACTAGGGTTGGAAACGTAAATTAAAAAGGCATTCACATAAAAGTTATAAATAAAGACAATAAACAGTCAGCAAACAAAGGGGACAGAAGGGCAGCAAGGGACTAGCCCCCTTAAGGTTTACTTACTAATAGCAGGAGTGTTAAAATAAGATAGATGACAAAGATTAATTGCAATGCAGGAAACAAGTATTATTGCTATAACGAGACCTGGCTCAATCAAAAGATGAAAATGCCCCTGAATGTCACAACAAGGCTTAAATTTTTCCACACTGCAGGGTCAACGGGAAAAGGGTGGTGGAGTAGCGATGTATGTCAGGGGACAATTTAAATTGTTGTTTTGACAATTTTTAAATTAAAGCGTCAGCCACTAATCTGTTTGGTTACAGCTTCTCGGGGGCCGGGAAAAACTAATTTTGGGTGTGATTTAGGGGCCCCAAATCTTAAAGGGGAGTGCAGTAAATTTTCTATGGGACGAAATTTGTAAGGCATTACATACAAAATGTGGCTAATGGGGAGGATTTTCAACTATGACAGATTGACGGGAGCAATTTGACGGGAATTTAGAGTCGGGTGACTTTCTTGATACATCCAGATTGTTTTTTAAAAAAAGTTTTTTGACAGACCAACAGGGGAAATAACCTCCTTACTGGTTCTTGCCCGTAGGGAAACACTAATTAATAACTTGAGGGGTTTAAATGACTTGGGGGGAAATGATCACAAACACTCAGTTTTAAAAATCGGGAATTTCCCCCAATAATGGCAATCAAGTCTCCCTCCCCATTTCGCTTGGCTGATTTCATAGGGCTAAAAATTACTTAGGGGGGCTGAACTGGAATGACCTGACTAGGGGGCAGGGAGGTGGTGATGGTTTTCCCAATGATGCTTTCCAGGGGTATTCTAGCTGCTCATCAAAAAATTTTGTTCCCAAAAAGGGGAAAAAGACAAACAAAAATGATCCTAAATGGGTGAAAAATAATTAAAAAAATCTATGGTCAAAAGAGAGGCATATATAGGCCCCAAACAAAAAGGGGGGGGGCAATTAAGAAATCGATATATTATTAAAAAGAGAAAAAAAAAAGGGGTTTAGAAAGCAAATAAATTTTGAGGTTAAAGTTTCAAGAGAATCGAAATAACCCAAAAAGGTTCTTTCAGGTATACGAAGTAAGATCAGGGGCAAAATAGGCCCACTCAAAAATTCCCCGGGTCGCTCACTGACAGTGATAAGGAAAAGTGTAGAATTTTTAACACATACTTCCTTCAGTTTTTACACAGGGGATACCAGCGATATTCCAAATGATAAATTTGTAGAACAGGACGATAATAAAATGTGAAAAAATTAGGGTCACAATGACTGGGCCTAGGGGAAAAAGAAAATTAAAACCTAACAAATCCCCAGGCCCTGATGAACTGTATGCAAGGGTTCTAAAGGAAGAAAGAGGAGCTTAGCAACCTTTGGCAATCTTTTCAAAAATATCATACAAATGGCATGGTGCCAGATAAGTGGAAAATGGCAAAGTGATACCTATTTTAAAACAGGTGACAGGTCCTTAGCTTCGAACTATAGACCAATAAGCCCCAAACCTCCATAGTGGGGAAAAAAAAATGGGAAACAATAATTGCCGAGGCATTCGTACCCCCTTGAAAAGCATAAATTAACAACAATCTCAGCATGGTTTTACAAAGGGGCGTTCCTGCCTTACATTTTTTTAAATTTTTTCACTAAAGGGATTTGAGGAGGTAGATCATGGGAATGAATATGATATTTTATATGGACTTCAGTAAGGGTTTTTAAAAGGTCCCACATCAGAGACATTGAGGAAAATTAAAACAATGGAATAGGGGGAGAAATTTTTCCTGGATAAGGCATGGTTGACAAATACAGCAGAGATTTGAAAATGGGGGGAAAAACAGAGTGGGGAAGCGTCACGGGGGTTTCCCCAGGGGGCAGTGTTGGGGCCCCCCGCTTTCACAATCTACATAAACGACTAGATAGGGGATAAAGAGCGAAATCGGCAAGTTTCCGATGACCCAAAATAGGCCGTCGAATTTATTCTGAAGAGGACATTCGAGCACTCCAAGGATTTAATAGACTGAGCAGGGTCGGAGAAGTGGGGGATGCAGTTTAATATAGAAAATCAAAGTTTAAAAGTTGGGCAGGACAATAACCATGCCACATAAAACAAATAATGTAGACTTAATATTACGGATTGCGAAAAAGATTTAGGGTTCTGGGTTTCTAATCTGAACCAAGACAACATGCTAAAATGTTTCGAATAAAGCTAATAAATCCTTGGCTTCTTCAAGAAGCAAAATAATAATCCCAGGTTGTTCTTCAACTCTAACATCCTTGGTTGGCCTCATTTAATTTGTGCACAGTTTTGGTCACCGTATTACAGAATGGTAAAATTCTCTGGAAAAAGTACAAAGGGGGATGACAAAAAACCCATTATCAGAAACCTCCCTAAGAGGGTGACAAGGGCCCGAAACTGCACTCTCTAAAAAAGAGTAGAAAATTAGGGGGGGTATGATTGAGGTTTATAAGTGGAAGACAGGGAAAAATAAAGGGGGTGTAAATAGTGTGCTGAAAAATTTTAGCCAGACAGGACTCGCAGCAATGGTTTAAGTTGGAAAAATTCAGTTCAGGAGGGATATAGGAAGTACTGGTTTGGTAATGGGGAGTTGTGGATGAGTGGAACAAACCCCAAGTACCTTTAAAGAGGCCAGAACGTTGTGTGCTTTAAAAATAGGTTGGATAAATAACAGAGTAATGTGGGTGGGTGTGATTGGACCTAACTTGTGCTAACGGGTCGGTTGCCGTGTTCCCCCCCTTAAGTCAATGTGACCTGACCTGACATTTGGGTGCTTTTTGGCTTAAGCCGGTAGGGATTGGACCTGCCTCGCGGCCAGTTGGCCTTTTGCAGTGTTCCTTCGTTTTATTTTTATGTTTTTAAAAATAGGGCCTTAGACAAGGGTGTGTGATGTCCCGTGGTTTTTTAATTTTTATAGATGGGGTTGTAAGGAATAAGTGCGAGGGTTTGGCAAGAGGCGTGGGGTTTTAAAAAATAAAGAATCACACATAAAAATGGGGGGTTGCACAGTTGCCTTTGCTGATGACATGTCCTTGGGAGATTCTGAAGAGAAGTTGAGAGTTGGGGGAGTTTGGTAGGTGTGCAAAAAAAAAATTTAAAATGAAACAGGAAAGAGTAAGGTTTTAAAGAGGGGCAACAAAAAGATTAGGTGATAAAGATTGGGTATCAAATTGGAGGAGAGAGAGGAGGAGGTGAAAGATTCAATATTTGGGAGTGGACTGTCGCGGGTGGGTCTATGAAAGATGGAAAGAATCATAGAATTGAGAGGGGAAAAGGGTGATTGGGGACTTGGGTCTGGGGAGACAAAGAACTTTTTTCCCGAGCAAAAGGGGAATGTAGAAGTATAGTTTTACCAACCTCTTTTAGGGGGGGGGGGGGGGGAAACAGGGGGATGAATGTTGGGGAGCAGGGGGAAGGCTGGAGGGAGTGGGGATGAGTCTGAGGGCAATTTTTGGCTTTGAATATAATGCAGAGAATTGTAGTTTGGAAGTTGGGAAAAGGGGCGGGATTTCCAAAAATGTTGTCCAGAGGGCTGAGGAAGGGTTTGTTGAGGTGGTTCGGACATGTAGAGAGAATGGAGCGAAACAGAGTGACTTCAAGAGTGTATCAGTCTGTATGGGGAAAGGGAAGGCGGGGTAGGGTCGGCCTAGGAAAGGTTGGAGGGAGGGGGTAAAGAAGGTTTTGTGTGCGGCGGCTTGGACTTCCAGCGGGCATGCGTGAGCATGTTTGATAGGATAAAATGGAGACAAAGGGTTTTTTAAATTTCCCTTGACGTGCTGTTGGAGTGTGAGCAAAGTAACATTTATGAAGGGGTTCAGGGAAACCGGCAGGCCGGACTTGAGTCCTGGAGATGGGAAGTACAGTGCCTGCACTCTGAAGGAGGGGTGTTAATGTTGCAGTTTAAAAACTATAGTGTAAAGCACCCTTCTGGCAAGACAGTGATGGAGTGAATGATGGTGAAAGTTTTTCTTTTTCGGGCCACCCTGCCTTGGTGGGAATCGGCCAGTGTGATAATAATAAAATAATAATAATAAAAAAACAAGTAACCAAGTTAACACATACCATTTGGTAATTACAAAAAACAGAATAAGCAACCAGTCTTCGGTTAACTTCAAATTGTATCAAGCACATTTATTATTATTTATTATTATTATTGTGCATGTACTAGTGTACTAAATGAAGAATAAATGACACCTTTATTGAAGATGTAGTGATGAGTGATTAGACACTGTGTCCTGGAAGTGCCTTTTCCTCCTGAGTAATGTAGGTCCTGTTTGGCATTTTGTTCCAAAACAGGCCTTATCACACTGTGTATGCCACTACAATTCTTAAATCTCTCAAACCAACCTTTGCTGGCCTTAAATTCACCAATATGAGCACTAGTTCCAGGCATTTTTTCCTGTTCACCTGGGTGTTTGTCTTGCTGGTGTGGGTTTGAATCCTGGGGGGCAAGATTTAAGAACCACTATGGAAATAAGTTAGACAGTCCTCGATGACACACTGACTTTCTTGGGTTATCCTGGGTGGCAAACCCTCTGGAGTTAATTGTTTCTTGGAATTCTCGATAAGTCACACCAGTAACAGTCTCTCCACATCTTCGAGTAGTACAGTGACCATGGTGCAGCAGCAGCTGACTGTGGTGCAGCAGCAGCTGACAGTGGGGGCAGCAGCAGCTGATGGTACTACAGCAGCAGCAGCAGCAGCTGATGGTACTACAGCAGCAGCAGCTGACCATGGTGCAGCAGCAGCTGACCGTGGTGCAGCAGCAGCTGACCGTGGTGCAGCAGCAGCTGACCGTGGTGCAGCAGCAGCTGATCATGGTACATTAGTATTTCGATAGTATTTCTCACCCTTTTTACCACAGGGTTGGCACTAGAAGCTTTCTTTGGGCCCATGGTGGCTTATTTAGCAGTTACAAGCACTAAAAACACTGGAATAATACAAAATTTATCAAATGTATGTGTGCAACTGTCCGCCCCGGCTTGTAAACAATGTCACACTAGCTCAGCTGAGGCGCTCAGGCCAGACAGACGTGTGGACGCGGACAGGACGAATGATGCAAGTCGAGTTTTTCAACGTATGTCAGGGTCAAATTTTTATGCTGATAAGCATCGTAAGTCAGTTTTAATGTAGGTTGAGGACATCGTAAGTCGGGGGTCCACTGTATTTCTTATGGGAAAATTCATTTGGTATATATCCTGTTTGGTATAAGTCCAAGGTCCTGGAACAGATTAAAGATGTATACCAAGATACCACTGTATTATTATTATTGTTGTTGTTATTACTATTACTACTACCACCACCACCATTACTACTACTACCACCTACCACAACCATTCTACTACTACCACCACCATTACTACTACTACCACCACCATTACTACTACTACCACCACCATTAATTACTTACTACCACCACCATTACTACACACCACCATTACTACTACCACCACCATTACTACTACTATTTTACCACCATTACTACTACCACTGTTACTACTACTACCACCACCACCATTACTACTACTACTATCATCATTACTACTACTACTACCACCATTACTACTACTACTACCACCATTACTACTACTACTACCACCATTACTACTACTAGTACTACCATCATTACTACTACTACTACCATCCTTACTACTACTACTACCACCATTACTACTACTATTGCCATTACTACTAGAGTTACTACTACTGATACTTCTTCAACTCCTCCTCCGTCAATATTTAACCCTTTCAGGGTCCAAGGCCCAAATCTGAAGTGGTGCCCCAGTGTCCAAGAATTTTCCAAAAAAAAATTTGTTATTTTTTCTTATGAAATGGTAGAGAATCTTTTTGTGAAGGTAATAAAACAAAAAGTACGAAATTTGATGGAAAATTGACAAAATTATGCTCTCGCGAATTTTGATGTGTCAGCGATATTTACGAATCGGCGATTTTGCCGACTTTGACTTCCATTTTAGGCCAATTACATTTATTCCATCGACCAAATTCTTAGCTATTTTACTAGTATTACTTCTATTCTATCGATTGAGCACAAAAATCGCCAAGTCAAAATGTTCAACTACAAAATAAAGTGATCGGAAATTGGTAATTTTTGGGAAAATTTAACACAAAGTCAAAATATTCCAATTTCAAAATAGCATCCAGAATAAACAATGTAGCATTCCTGGCACTAAACTAACATTTCCTCGGTTCATTAGTTACCCTTTTGAGGCTTTACAAATAAATCCCATTTTTTATTTTTTATTTACATAATGAATTTTTATTCACAAACCAAAAAATAGATTTACTGTTATGCAATATTGTAATAATTGTATAAATATTTATCACCACATTTGTGAATGTGTATTAAAATCCACCAGCTGGCATGTATTAGACGTGTGAGGTCGTTTTGTTTACTCTTTAACATCGACAAAAATTTAAAAATTTCCGCTACTTTGAGCTCAGTTTCAAGCCATTTCCAGTGCTAAAACCAATCAAAATCATCTCTATTTCTGTAATATGTCTTCCATTCTATCAACTGAGACCAAGAAATTGCAAATACAACTATAAAAAACATACGAAAAAACACTGCAAAGTTGCTGTTTTAATCGAAAATCTTGGTTTCAGTTTTTTCTCTCATTATACACAGTGTGCTGCAGGATTTGTTTTATGTGGTGCACACATACCACATAGATGTATTCTCTCAAACTAGGCCCAAGTGTACCACTCACAGTTTATCAGAGTGAGCTGAGCTCATGACATAGATCTACGGTTTGGACACTGAACGCAAAGCCGTAGATCTACGGGACGGACCCTGAAAGGGTTAAAGCAACGGTGTAAGTGAGGATATATTATAATTTAGTAATCAGGTACAATTGTGTGTGTTGGTGCTTATTTGATGTTAACTGGATGTTTACTTAACTTGATCTGTGCATACATCATATTAATAACATATTTACTTTGTGAAAAATTGTTAAGCCTGCACTTCCAGACATAACCAGGTATACAAACCCAAGCTGTTGACATCTCTTTTGCACCCTCTCATTTTTTCATCTAATTCACACTACTGAATAACAAATGCTACAAAGGAATATGTTTGTGACAGAGGTGTTTGGAGACAGCGAAGAAGGCGAGGGTTGGGGAGGAGAGGCACCGGGGCATTCCAGAAACTCGTCCAACACCAGCCACGGCTCACACGCTTCAGGCTATGCATCCATCAACTCTCAATCTGAAAAATCTGGTCATATCAGGTGAGTCCATTTTAATATCCCCCCCCCCCAAAAAAAAAAAAAACGCATGTTAATTAATGTTGCATTTTACTATTCTGTTACATTTCTTTTTTGTATTTAGAATAGTAGTGCATGATTGCTTCTGCTTTATTTACTACTGCATTTCACTTACAAGTAGCTTCTTTCAAAAATTCAATTTATTATCTTGATAGTGAATATATATATTATTTTCATTTTTCTCTAACTAATGCTATAATAATGCCGTTGGTTTTATGCAGCTGTTGCCCAACATTCACCGTGTGGTCAGCGGATAGCACCTATCTTTCCTCCAGGCCAAGTAGCTTCTGTTTGTACACTACTAATGCTAGTCTTTCTGACCAGCTTTACACTCACCCTTTTCACTATGCACATCCTAAGGGCCTGCCTCCTTCTAAACCAACTGCTCGCTTCCATCTGTTTCCTGCTGCACCAGATGGCACATCTTCCCTCTGTAACACTCCACCTTCTGACTCAAAAAGACGCAGTCTACTTTCATTTCCGGATTTATCCCACATCCTTGGTGGTTCAACTCCATCACTTGTGTCCCTGTCTTCCTCTGGAACTCGGGGAGGATCAGTGTCAAGTGGTGTAAGCCCTGAAGACTGTAGTATTCGCACAATGGTAGCTTCTTCTCAGCAACCCCAGTGGGCAGTTGGAGCCTTGCATTCTGCAATTTCTGCTCTTGCATTGCACACCGACTCTTCTAGTTTGCATGTTGCTACAGATTCAAGTATAAAAAACAGGTTAGCAAAATTGCAGTCTTCACAGTGACTTTTAAAAAATTTTGAACTTATATCTTTGATAATGAATACGTATTATTATTATTATTATTATTATTATTATTATTATTATTATTATTATTATTATTATTATTATTATTATTATTATTATTATTATTATTATGTATGGGGAAACACTAAACCTGTAGGGGGTCATAGAACACCTGGGAAATAGAAGGGAATCAAATTTACTACAAGGGAGCATAGATCCAATTCCTTGAGATAAAATCTTTCTGCTACCCTTTCTTGAATGGATGTCTTTCATTAAAGGGCATTTTTAGTACTAATATCTCTTCTCCAGATTTGCAAATAGTTTACTGCAAAGATTACAGTATTAAAATTTTTTTTTTTCAACGAACCGGCCATCTCTCTCCAATGCAGGGTGACCTAAAAAGAAAAATGAAAGTTTCTCTCTTTAAATTTAATAATGCATACAGGAGAAGGGGTTCTTCTTTCTTTCAATACACCGGCCGTATCCCACTGAAGCAAGTGTCCCAAGAGGAAAAACGGAAGTTTCTCCTTTTACATTTAGTAATATATACAGGAGAAGAGGTTACTAGCCCCTTGCTCCTGGCATTTTAGTTGCCTCTTACAACACGCATGGCTTACGGAGGAAGAATTCTGTTCCACTTCCCTATGGAAGTAAGAGGAAATAAACAAGAACAAGAATTAGTAACAAAATAGAAGAAAACCCAGAGATTTGTGTATTATATATGCTTCTACATGTATGTGTCCTTGGTAGTAGGTTGGTAGGCAGGAAGGTACTACCATCCTGCCATGTGAGTGTAACACAAAAGCCTGTAATTGTTTTACATTATGGTAGGATTGCTGGTGTCTTTCTTTTTCTGCCTCTTAAACATGCAAGCTTTCAGGTACGCCTTGCTACTTCTACTTACACTTAGGTCACACTACACATGCATGTATACAAGCATACATATACACACCCTCTTTAAGCCATGCATGTCATAAGAGGCTACTGAAATGCTGAGAGCAAGGGGGCTAGTAACCCCTTCTCCTGTATACATTACTAAAGTTAAAAAGAGAAACTTTTGTTTTTCTTTTTGCGCCACCCTCCCTTGGCGGGATACAGCCAGTTTGTTGAAAGAAGAAGACGTGTATGTGTAGTGTGACCTGAGTGTGAGTAGAAGTAGCAGGACGTACATTGGAACCTTGATTTTCATTTGCCCTGGTTTTCGATGCCTTTTTTTGTCAAAATATTGTCCCAGTTTTCGTTCAACGCCTTGGTTTTTGTCCACCGTATGGAACATGTCCATGTCCCCGCGCCCACACCAAGCATCCCATGCACACATTCAGAGTCACTCTGGCTGTTTCTTGTCGAGTAAACATTACCCTGTGCGTTCATATGAAACATTTTGCAATAATCGATTGTTTTTTGTGCTTGTTTATTGAGTGCGACTGCTAAATAAACCACCATGGGGCCAAAGAAAATTCAGCATGCCAACCCTTTGATAAAGAAGGTGAGAAACATGATAGAATTCAAGAAAGAACTCATAGAATGAGTTGCAAAGTTTTGTGGAGGAATATCACTACCACCCTCTACATAGGTAGAGGGTGGTAGTGATTGTGGTAGAGGGTGGTAGTGATGGTGGTAGAGGGTGGTAGTAATGGTGGTAGAGGGTGGTAGTAATGGTGGTAGAGGGTGGTAGTAATGGTGGTAGAGGGTGATAGTAATGGTGGTAGAGGGTGGTAGTGGTTGTGATGGTGGTAGAGGGTGGTAGTGGTTGTGATGGTGGTAGAGGGTGGTAGTGATGGCAAACAATCGAAGATGTTGAGAAGTGTTGAAGAATTGAGACACATATGCAACACATGGGAATCTTTATTGAAGAAACGTTTTGCCACACAGTGGCTTCATCAGTCCAATACAAAGTAGAAATGGGTAAGGAGAGGAGGAGTTTGAGGTAATCAGTCCCTCAACCTGGAATCGATGTGTTCAGTCCATCACTCTTGTAGGAAGTGCAGCATAGGGCCAGAGAGGTGGCTTATATACTGCAGTCAGATGAGTCGAAGCAGGAGGAGATGGGATCACAGTGGGACCTGCCACTGTGATCCCACCTGCCAGTGTGACTTTGTCAATGGTCCAAGTCGGACCGAAACGTCGTCGTTAGCTTCTCTCTTTTATGTGCGGGTTATTTGTGTATTGGACCTGCCACTAGTGTAAGTAGGTCGTCGTCCAAAGGTTCAAGCGTTGAAGTCTTTGTACCAAGATCCCATGATGTTGCAACAAATAGGGATCTTGGTACACTGCAACATCATGAGAAGTTGTTAGTGTGGATCAACGAAAAACCAGTTAGCAGGAGATAGTGTTGTGGAGGCAATAATTTGTGAAAAGGCAAGGCAGTTGCATGAGGATCTCGTGAAGAATATGCCAACAAGAGTCTTCAATTAAGGTAAAACTGATTTAAATGTTCATTTATCCATTTATTTCTCATTGTTTTCTGTAATTTTTTGTCAATATTTTTGGGTGTCTAGAACTGATTAATTGGATTTACATTATTTCCTATGGGAAATATTGCTTTAGTTTTTGTCAGATTTGGTTTTCGTCAGACTATTTCCTGGTAAAAGTAGGTCTTAGACAGGGATGTGTAATGTCACCATGGTTGTTTAATATATTTATAGATGGGGTTGTAAAAGAAGTAAATGCTAGGGTGTTCGGGAGAGGGGTGGGATTAAATTATGGGGAATCAAATACAGAATGGGAATTGACACAGTTACTTTTTGCTGATAATACTGTGTGTATGGGAGATTCTAAAGAGAAATTGCAAAGGTTAGTGGATGAGTTTGGGAGTGTGTGTAAAGGTAAAAAGTTGAAAGTGAACATAGAAAAGAGTAAGGTGATGAGGGTGTCCCAAATGATTTAGATAAAGAAAATTGGATATCAAATTGGGGAGGAGCAGTATGGAAGAAGTGAATGTTTTCAGATATTTGGGAGTTGATGTGTCAGTGGATGGATTTATGAAGGATGAGGTTAATCATAGAATTGATGAAGGAAAAAAGGCGAGTGGTGCGTTGAGGTATATGTGGAGACAAAAAACGTTATCTATGGAGGCAAAGAAGGAAATATGAAAGTATAGTAGTACCAACACTCTTATATGGTTGTGAAGCTTGGGTTGTAAATGCCACAGTGAGGAGGCGGTTGGAGGCAGTGGAGATGTCCTGTCTAAGGGCAATGTGTGGTGTGAATATTAAGCAGAAAATTCGGAGTGTGGAAATTAGAAGATGGTGTGGAGTTAATAAAAGTATTAGTCAGAGGGCTGAAGAGGGGTTGTTGAGGTAGTTAGGTCATTTAGAGAGAATGGATCAAAGTAGAATGACTTGGAGAGTGTATAAATCTGTAGGGAAGAAGGCGGGGTGGGGGTCGTCCTTGAAAAGGTTGGAGGGAGGGGGTAAAGGATGTTTTGTGGGAGAGGGGCTTGGACTTCCAGCAAGCGCGCATGAGCGTGTTAGAGCTGTCGGAGTGTGAGCAGGGTAATATTTAGTGAAGGGATTCAGGGAAACCGGTTATTTTTATATAGCTGGACGTGAGTCCTGGAAATTGGAAGTACAGTGCCTGCACTCTAAAGGAGGGGTTCGGGATATTGGCAGTTTGGAGGGGATATGTTGTGGATCTTTATACGTATATGCCTCTAAACTGTTGTATTCTGAACACCTCTGCAAAAACAGTGATTATGTGTGAGTGAGGTGAAAGTCTTGAATGATGGTGAAAGTATTTTCTTTTTGGGGATTTTCTTTCTTTGGGTCACCCTGCCTCGGTGGGAGACGGCCGAAAATTTCCCTCGTGACCCATGCCTTACTATTAGATTTCCAAAACACACACAATTTTACTCTCATAACATTGTTTTTTCCTGAACACACTGGGATTTTCAGAATGGTACACTAGTAATGGCTTCACTTTGAAATCCCCACTAGCATTAGCACAGAACATTAGCATCAGCCTGTCTTTTATAGGCTTGTGTCCTGGCATTGCCTTTTCCTCTTGTGTAATGAAGGTCCTCTTTGGCATTTTCTTCCAAAAGAGGCCTGTTTCGTCACAATTGAACACTTGTTCAGGTTTCAGTCCTTCAGCCTCTATGTACTCCTGGAATTCATGCACATATTTTTCAGCCGCCTTGTGGTCCGAACTGGCAGCCTCACCATGCCTTACCACACTGTGTATGCCAGTACGGTTCTTAAATCTCTCAAACCAGCCTTTGCTGGCCTTAAATTCACTCACATCACCACTATTTGCAGGCAATTTCTTTACCAAATCTTCATGCAACTGCCTAACCTTTTCACAAATAATCGAAGTCATAAGAGTATCTCCTGCTAATTGTTTCTCATTTATCCACACCAATAATAACTTCTCAACCTCTTCCAGTACTGGTGATCTCATTTTTGTCAGTATAGTTACTCCCTTTGCAACAGCAGCGTCCTTTATTTCCTTTTTCTTGGCCACTATGAAACATAAGGTTGTGTAGGGTTTCTTATACATCCTGGACAGTTCAGCCACACTTGTACCACTTTCATATTGTTTAATGATGGTTTCTTAAATTCAATCGTATTTCTCACCTTCTTTACCACAGGCTTGGCACTAGGAGCTTTCTTTGGAGCCATGGTAGCTTATTTAGTACTTTTTTTTTTCTTTCAACAAGTCGGCCGTCTCCCCCCCAAGGCAGGGTGACTTACAAACACTAAAATAAATGGAACATTATGAAATATTTCGCTGGAGCACGTGAGGGGACCTTCGCTCACTGGTAAACAATGCCAGACTGGCTGCCGCCTGGCTCACGCCGTGGGTACGCGTCCCGGACGAACTACAACTCGCGAGTCAACCTATGAAAAGCGAGTCCGTGTTTATACGAAAATACCCCTATGATTGGCGAAATTTACGTTTGCCGGGAACTACGAAAAGCGGGGACCACTGTGGTGTGTTTGTGTTGTGTTGTGTTGTGTGTGGTGTGTGTGTG